TAATTCCTCGGACATTTCGGGGATCTTTTCACATGGTTTGCGCCATCCTACGACAATTGCATTTAACCCTTTCGATGCTTCTTGGTGATAGAGATCATTATGATGTGATCTTCGTAGATCAATTATCGGCCAACATTCCCTTGTTAAGGTTGACTGGCGCAAAGGTGATAATCATCTCATTTTGTTTTTAGGTGTTGTGATTTTGTATGTTAAACTTGTCTCTTTAAAAAATGGAAGGTCTTGTTCTACTGCCATTTCCCGGATAAGTTATTAACGCAACGGGAGACGACCCTGAAGAATATATATCGAGTTCCAATCGATTTCATAGAGGAAGTGACAACTGGTGAACTCTCTTAAATTGACGTGAAGCGTGTAGATCATGTTTCACGTGACTAACTAGAATATGTCATTTTTAGGGTTGGCAAATTGCGTGGTTGTAAATAGCGAATTTACTGCAAACGTGTTTTGCAAGTCTTTCACCACCATAAGGAATCCACCGCAAGTCCTTTATCCTGGAATTCATCTTGAAGCATATGATAAAGATGTTGATCACAAGGACGAATCAGTCAAGATCCTAGAAACGTAAGTTGTTAGGTGCACTTTTTTTTTTAATGCGAGCCTCCACGGACAATCGGCTTGATTATTCAGAATTTGCCATAACCACAGTTCGAAAAAGGTTATCTTGTCGATCAACCGGTTTGAAAAAAAGAAAAATATCGTTCTTGCCATACGCGCCTTTACATGGTTACGAGATGATAAATTGGTGGATCCGACCGAATTTGAAAATATGAGATTGATCATTGCCGGTAAAGTTTGATTCTTCTATGAGTGCATAATAGCTTACAAATGAAATTTGATTATTGATTAGTGAATTTTGAAAATATTATTAGGTGGTTATGACTATCGTGTTCCCGAAAATGTGGAAGTTCATTCTGAACTGAACAGGGTAGCAATGCGAGCAGGACTCAAAACTCATACCATTTTGCCAGATTCAACCAAGGCTCCTTCCGAATCGGCTCAAGTGATCTTTGTGTGCTCTTTTAACGAAGCACAAAGGACTTATTTGTTGTCAAAGGCTTTCTGTCTTTTGTACACTCCGGAAAATGAACATTTTGGAATTACACCTATTGAAGCTATGTACTCAAAACTACCGGTGATTGCATGTAACAGCGGCGGACCAAGGGAGACCATTCGCAATGGGGTAACCGGTATCCTTTGCGAACCTAAGCCGATGGCATTTGCGGAAGCAATTTCCTCTCTTGTTAATGGTCACCATGACCGTTACGATATGGGCGAAAACGGAAGATTTCATGTACTAAAAACATTCTCTTCGGATATTTTCATCGATTCCCTTGAGAACCTTCTCATTAAGTTGGTTGCAGAGCCATCAAAAGCTATACATAATCCTTTAATTTGGCTTTCCACTATGGTGGCACTATTTTTTTTTTTATGTTCCAAGTACTTTAATTTTGTATGATATCTTTTTTTGTTAATCTAATGGACATTTAATCTTCTCTTATGAACTATATGAACTTTTAATATTACTGTATTTCTTTTTTGATCATTTTAATGGATAACTTTCCAAATAAAGAATTTCTATCTAGTCTCTGGCTGAATTGATCAATTTCTCCACAAATTTTTTTTTGCTGAGTGTGTGATGTGATGGATTTGGTAACCAACAATTGACTGAAAGATCTTTCGAGAAGTTTCTGTATTTCCGCAGTGAAATTATTCATATAAATGATTGTTAAATTCTGGGGCATACCTGCTTTCCATCTTGATTTAAATGTCTTCTGCCGAGGAACTTTATAAGCAAGCTAACGACGCTTTTTTCGAGGATGACTACGATGAGGCCTTGGAACTCTACAATAAGGCCATCAGCTTGGACGCGACGAATGTTGAATATTTGTTGAAAAGGTAACTCGCGTCCGCTTCTTGCGAAAGCGACTTAGGTATTGACTTGGAAACGGGATTAAATTTTTCAAGGTCCGCCACCTTTCAAAAAATCAAGAAAAATATGGATTCTTTGGCTGACGCCGAAAAGGCTTTGAGTCTTGTTGAAGGAAAGGAGGGTCAAGAAGCTATTGCTGCCAAAGCGTTGCTGAGGAAAGGGTGAGAAAGCATTTCCTTTTACATGCCTGCCGAACTAATGAATACCCGCGTGATTCCTTGTGCAATAACCCTTCTTTGGAAATGCGCATATTCTAAGTATTGCGCAATTCGAGCTCAAAGAATATCAGGCAGCTAAGACTTCCTTTGATCAATCTAAAGAGCTAAATCCAAATGAGAAGTCGCTGGCTACGTGGTTGAAAAAAACTGAGGTTCAATTAGAAAAAAGTACGACAGCCAAAGTTTTATCGTCTTGTAAAATAAGTCGGGTAATCATTGTATTGAACTTAATTTTATTGTGTGTAGTGGCTCCAAAACCCACGTCTGCATCTGGCACAATGTCAAACAATACATCAGGTTCGGCATTCTTATCTCAAAGTCGCGTCAGGTAATCAAAGTTTATATATACAACCATCTCGTGAGGTCGTGTGCGTCCGAATCTCTCTCAAATTGTTGAATTACATCAAACAGGCATGAATGGTTTCAGAACGAAAGCTTTATCATCATCAGCATTTTCATCAAGAATGTGAAAAAGGAGACAGTCGACGTTTACATGGCAGATCGATCGGTATATCCGGTTTTCGCTTGCGATCAATCGTGCACTTGATATTTCATCGGATGTTGACCTGCTTTTTTTTTTATAGGTGTCGGTGACCATTAAATTGCCCACAGGATCCGATTACTCTTTGGAACTCGATCCACTTGCGCACGAGATCGATCCTAAAGAGAGTAAATACGAAGTGTTATCCACTAAAGTTGAGATCAAGCTTAAAAAAGCTAATGTGGGAATTAGGTGGGGTGTTCTGGAAGGCGAAGACTCGCTCGTCGGATCAATTGGATCAACAAACGGTATGTTCATACATAAAATTTGCGGGGCCATTAAATTCGTGACTTTTTCTTTAACACTTCTGTTTCAGATTCAAGTGTGCTTTCTTATCCATCGTCCGCGAAACACGCAAAAAACTGGGACAAGCTAGAGAAGGAGATTAGCGGCGAACAAGAAAAGCCTGAAGGAGATGCAGCCTTGAACTCTTTGTTCCAACAACTCTATCGTGATGCGGATGATGATACGAAGAAGGCAATGATGAAAAGTTATACTGAAAGCAATGGTACATGTCTAAGTACAAACTGGGGTGAAGTCAGCAAGGGTAAGGTGGAAACAAAACCGCCCGAGGGTATGGTGGCAAAAAAGGTGAATTTTGATTTTCTATACATGCATCAACAAAAAAAAAAAAATGATCTGTCCGATTTAATCTCAATGTCATTTTATGTTTTGAAATTTCAGTGGAGCTAAAAAATGGTCTGTCCGATTTGATCTCAATGTCATTTTATGTTTTGAAATTTCCGTGGGACTTTTGAATTCCAGGCTTAAGATTACCACATAGTAAACTGATTAGAACGCTACGTATTTTTTACACAATCAGTCGGTCCTGAGAGGAGGACGATTATAAAATTTTTCTTTGGTGTGACAATTTCTATTGATTAGATGATTATTGTTTATAATACGAAAAGCATTTGAACATTATTGTTATACACTTGATAATTAATAAATACAAAACTTGATCACAAGTCGTTAAAAGATAAATAATCATCAGGATCCAACTTTTAATAACCCTTTTGCAAGTGCAATTTCTGCATTCAATATTCCGCTTCCTGCCGCGCCCAAAATGGTGTTGTGTACAAGCAGGGTAAATTTAACGTCGAACACATTGCACTTCCTAACCCTTCCCACAGTAACACTGTAACCATCCCCATTGTCTCTATCTAATCTCGGCTGTGGTCGATCTTGATCTCTACTTATGATTATAGCTTTTTCGGGAGCTGAATGACAACCAATCTGTTGCGATTCTGAAACGTATGAATCCAAGGCGTGTATAATTTGCTCTACTGATGGAGGTGGTTGATTTTTGAATTTGATGGAAACGCATTCGGTATGTCCATCAATCACTGGCACACGATTACAAGAGGCCGAGACTTTTGTAAAAGAAAGAATATTGAAACCCGTAGCCGTCTCGTTAACGTCGCCTAAAATTTTAAGGGTTTCATATTCCATCTTCTCCTCTTCACCACTAATAAAAGGGACAACATTGTCGTAGATATCAAGTGACGCCACTCCGGGATAACCGGCTCCGGAGATAGCTTGCATTGTCTGGACGATGACAGCTTCAATAGGCCCGAACGCATCTTGAAGAGGTTTCAAAACGACTACAAGACCCGTCGTAGAACAATTTGCATTCGTGACAATAAAACCTTTGTGAAGTGAGTGCAAAGATCTTTGATGCGGGATTAAATCAAAATGTGAAGGATTCACGGTGGGTACAATGAGTGGGACCACAGGGTCACGGCGGTGGTTTTTTGCATTAGAGAACACCACTAGATCAGCTTTGAGGAAAGATGTTTCTGATTGACGATAAAGAAAGTAAAGCATTTAAATTTCTTTCATCGTGCATAAAAACTCAAGACGATCTATCTCAGATTTTGGCAACAATGCTTCACCGATTTCACCAGCGACATCAGAATCCAATCCCGAAAATATCACATCACATTCTCTAAACAACTCGGGCTTACACTCTTGAACTAGCATATTTCCAACTTCAGCAGGTATAGGTGTGGTCATTTTCCACCTTGTAGCCTTAGCATACTCTTGGCCAGCGGAACGCAAAGAGGCACCAACAACATGAATCGTAAAATATGGATGTTTTGAAAGTAGAGAGATAAACCTTTGCCCAACTGTGCCAGTTGCGCCGAGTATGCCAGCTTTTAGTTGGACCTCAGGCAACGACATTTTGTGGAATTTGATTCACCGCCAAACTCCGGACTTATCCTTTTTTTTTTTTTTAAAAAAAAAAAAAAAGTTAGATAATTGTCGGACTAGAGATCGTGTGCTGTTATAAGGCATGATCTGATTGGTGAGCATTATGCGTCATCGAATTTTTTCCTCGCACATAGTATTTAAAGGTCGACATCCAGAAAAGTAGAAAATTAACTGGTTTCAAAGATGGCATCGGCGGTTTTTGTGCTCGACCTAAAAGGAAAAGTTCTCATTTCTCGGAATTATCGTGGCGACATCCCAATGTCGGCTGTTGAAAAATTCATGCCCCTGGTGTTGGAGGCTGAAGAGGAGCAACAAGCACCAACTCCTTGTTTTACTCACGAGGGTGTAAATTACTTGTACATACGTCACAATAACTTGTACTGTATCCTTACCATCGGATGTTTGGTTTTTTGAAAGGTCTGACCGAGATCCATCCAGAGTATCTTGTTCGGCTCAGTTGAGCATCGCCCAAAATCTGAATTCAGTGGGTTGATTTGTGTACCTGCTTAATGATCACTCGGGCCTCTTTAGAAAAAGTTTTTTTTATTTTTTTTTTTTGAATAATTAGACTATTATTTTTTTCCTTAATCCTTCGTATCATCCAAACCCGATTAGTGTTGGCTTTGACAAAGAAAAATTCCAACGCAACCATGATCCTCCTGTTTCTTCACAAATTGACCGAGGTATGCATCAATGGGAGGCAAAAATTTGGCACGGTGCAGTGTTAAAGCGTTATATATCGATATGTTGAATCAAAAAAAAAATGTATAGGTTTTCACTGAATATTTTAAAGAGCTCGAGGAAGAGTCGATTCGTGATAATTTTGTCATTATTTATGAATTACTTGATGAGATGATGGACTTTGGATATCCACAGA